AAAAGTAATCCCACTTTTTCATCAAATTCTGCACTGAGTCTCAGACTTTGAATCATGACCATCCAGGAGGCACTGGATGGGCTTAATGTGGGCTTAATGTGTGTGAATGTACTATATGTTACCATGTGGACTTTCCACACCAAAGGTTCTCAAATATTTTTAAATCCATTGAATCTATTCCAAATCAAGTTTAATATTTTTGTCTTACGTTTGCTTTTGCTAAATAATTTCTCCAACTAGTAAAGGGAATGGAATTTTGATTATATGTGGCTCAGAATTTATTGTACTCCCTAGATGGATATTTGGCGGGGGGGGTGTATTTTAGTAACTCAAGTTTAAAAACACTGAAAGAACCTTCAACACTGGATGAAAATCAAAAATGTTATATATAAGTTTGACTATTCATGAAATGATTATAGTTTCCTGAGGGTAAAGGGGAAGATTTTAATCTAGAGCCAAGATTGTGTCAATCTTAAAACTACAACTCCCTGAAATTATGCTGTAGCTAATACTTAGTACATTTGGATTTCAAAATTCGTTTTTCTTATACATGTTAGGAACTTACCACCCTGAGGTTGACCTAATTAGCCAACTCTCCTTGGTTTTATATCATTTGACAGATGTATTTTATAAAAACAAACATAAATGGTCACTTTTTTCAGTCCCTGGCTTCTACTTCTTCCTAAATCAGTAAAGCATAGGTTCTACATGGCCCTAGAGCATTAAATTGTTCCAAAAATAGATAAAAGAAATGAAAGTAATAAATACATACATTTTATGAGCATTCTGTGGAGAAAACTCAGAAAAATTTGGGGAACACTGAGGGTTGATGATACATGTAGAATGTTTTTGTACTAATGCTTTTTCAAAGTTAGTTACAGCAATTTATACTAAATTGTGATAATTTTAATCAAAGGAAAGCAATCTGAATGAAAAATTAAAATGTGTCTATAGCTTTTTTCTATTCAAAATAAAATTCAATGGTGAAAATACGTGTTACAATATTTGTGAAAATTTAGTTTCTATGAAAAACAAAAAAATGAATATATACATAAAAATTATCGGTCATCACAAGCACATCTAATGTTTTACTTTAAAGGCAGCCATAACCTTTAAAGAAAAAGGTCACTTTATATAAATGAATCCTAGTTTTTTAAGTTAGGTAACAAAAGAGTGTTTCTCCTGGAATGGAGGTGTTTGAATCTGTATTACTAGATTTCTCACTTTATTCCAAAGTATTTAAAACATTTAATATATGATAAGTTACTCACACATATTTATAAAACCCTTTGAAAAAGGGTTTACCCTTTTTGCTTTTGTTACTGTGGATTGATTTCCCATTATGAATTTTTTTTTCACTCAGACACTAATAGGCACCTGATGTTGAATAAGACTCAGATTCTACCTGTTGTCCTTAGAGCCTGGTGAATCATTGCTTGAGTAATTATTTGAACAGACTTATGGTAAGTCCTTTAAAGGACGAGTCCACAGCACCCTAAGACTGATGAAACAAGGCATTCACCTCTTCACGTGGAAAATCAGGGAAGGTCAGGGTAGGTTTTCTTGAGATCAATTTGGCTGTGATGTAGAGGATGGAGGGGTCCGTGTCCAGTGTCAACTAGGAAGTTCTCAGAGATGGACAAACAAGAAGGGATGATGGAGCAGAAGGAATGGAGGGAAATCTATTTTGGAGATACATCCACTGGACATGGTGACTAGATGTGAAGGAGAAGTGAGACAGTATGGAGGATGAGTTCTAGGTTTCCGGCAGGAGCACCAGCAGAATGCTGTGTAGTTTACTGAGTTGGGAAGTGCTGGAAGAGGACCCAGTAATAGTGGGAGTGTTCTAAAGGTGGTGTCTGATGTGCTAAATTCAAATGCCGGTGGGAGAGTGAAGTGGGTGTATTAGGAAGGCAGTTGGATGTGTGGATCCACAGCTCAAAGAATCAACTGGGCTGCGAATCTTGGAATCATTGGCCTAGAGAATTCAAAGCCCACAGTCTATGAGATCATGGTGGCGGAATGAGGACTGGGAAGAAAACGGATCTAGCCAACACCCCCCCCCATTGAAAGTTGACTAGAGAAGGAGGAAGCAGGAGAAGAGACTAAGAAGAAGCTTTCAGAGAGGTGACAATGAACAACAAATGCTGAAGACTTTAAAAACCAGCAGTGTCTGATGCTTAGTAACAGATTCTTTTAATAGGTAAATGTAGGGTCTCCATTTTTTTACCTAAGGTCTTTTCCATCAAATGATTAAATAAATTCAATAAATGACCACTCCATGTAAAAAAATAAGGAACAAAAGAAAAAAAACCCAGAAGTACCATCATTTTGATTTTCATGCTGAGTGAGAATTCCTGCGTAGTAGTAACTATCTGTGAGAATTAGTAGACTTGACTTCCGTGTTAACAACACCTGGGATTTCCTGGGCCTTTTGCATAATTGGTAAAAAAAATACTTATTTTTTTCCTACCACTTGACAGTGTTATGGAAAAGTGTTAAATAATATCTATGATACTAAAAATTAAATATACATAGAAACAACTTAAATGTCCAGCAACAGAAGAATGGATAAAGAAGTTATGGTCTATATATACAATGGAACACTACTCAGACATAAAAAAGAATAAAATAATGCTATTTGCAGCAACATGGGTGGACCGGGAGATCATCATTCTAAGTGAAGTAGACCAGAAAGAAAGAAAAATAGCATATAATATCAATTATATGTGGAATCTTAAAAATAAAAAAGACACAAATGAACTTATTTACAAAACAGAAACAGACTCACAGACATAGAAAATAAACTTAGGGTTACCAGGGGGAAGGGGAATGGGAAGGGATAAAATGGGAGTTTGAGATTTGCAGATACTAACTACTATATATAAAATAGATAAATAACAAGTTTATACTGTTTAGCACAGGGGACCATATTCAGTATCTTATAGTAGCCTACAATGTAAAAGAATATGAAAAGGAATATATGTGTACATGCATGACTGAAGCACTGTGCTGTACACCAGATACTGACACAACACTGTAAACTGACTATACTTCAATAAAAAATTAAAGCAACAAAAAAAAGAAAAAAAAGAAAAATTAAATGTTATGAATAGACACATGTTGAAGTCAATGTCATGACCATGTGTTTTCTTAGAGTAAATTTGCAAACCTACTCCCAACCAAAAATGTTGCGTGTATAGAGTTTATGAAGAGGCATATTTTTTCTGCTTATAAATTTGATTACCATTCATTGAAGGCAGTTTGATAAAATGTGGTTCCAATCATATGGAAGTCTTCACTGGGAGTAAACACTGGGCCTCACACCTGGTTTGGAATTGCTTTTTTCTTCTCTCTCTCTCTCTCTCTCTTTTGGTATTAACTACAAAGATAAACCAGTCAAAGAGCGATAATTCATCATCATTAATATATTACATAGTCTAACCTCAGAAGAGCTCAAAACACTTTAAAAGTTTTGTATAGTCACTAAAGTAGGCATTCATTTTCACAGCACTCTTTGAGAGGCAGGTGTACTTGAAACAATCTATTAATAGTTGTCTTTTTTCTCTCGTAGGGTTCCCTGGGGATACAAGGCCCCCAAGGTCCACCTGGAAAAGAGGGTCAGAGGGTAAGTAAACTCAGAGCAACTGGCAAGTGTTGCTAGCTCAGGGGTTACTTATTTCTGAACACTTAGAAAAATAAGACCAAAATACAGCAAGCAGATGGGTGTAAGGAGAGTATCAACTATCTGAAGTCTGAAATTTGAGATTTGAGATTTTGACGGGGCTTTTTACAGTCCAGAAGACTCTATGTGTTTTCCAGATTGGCAGCACAAATGTAGAGATATAGTTTGGGTGAAATGAATTAACCGTAATTTGATCTGGAGCACAGTGGTTGTGGATTTTGGAGCTTTTGAGTTAAGCTGATCTTTGCAGAGTTAAGTTTGATGAGCATCTTTATGGAGTTCTAGCTTGCTGATGACTCCTGTAAAGACTGTGGATAACAGCTACACTCTTTAGCCAAATTAAATTATTGACGGTAGTGACTTTTTGGTCACTTTTACCACCTTTGAGATAAAATATGGAGGACATGAATAAATTGTACTTACCATGGGAGTGTAGCCATCACCTTCTAGTGAGATTAGTCTTACTGACTCCCAGTAGAAGGAACCCTTGAGGTGACAGTTGGTCAGCTCTGCATGATCACTTTCTGCAGTGGCCTCCCCCCCATTTTTGTGGCTAATCATTATTAATCATTTCAAATCATGTTAAAGTCTTGAAACATGTTACATGTGCTATCTCACATGAGTAGTAGTATTAACATTTGTTACCTTATAAATGAGAATAGTGTGACTCACAGTGTGTTGGTGACTTGCCTAAAGTCATAGAACTAATAAGTCAAGCCAAGACTGGAAACTGGGGCTTCTGATCTTGTTTTCTCTTTTACTGTCCCAGGATATTAACCCTGTATCTCTTTATTAGTCATTTTTACTTATTCTTCCCAGTTCTACTCTCTGGTAAATAAGGCTGTTGCCTCAAATATATTAGAGTTCTAATATTTGAGGATCAATGGGATATTTTACCAAGAAATCTTGTATCAGGTTAGTAAAATCCTTATTTTCTTAGCTCTTTCTCATATCTGGATTCCTGACTGTCTAATATGCTGGTAGTCTTTCTCAGAAAACACTTATGGGCCTTCTGGAGGTGTCAGGAGTGGAATAGAATGTGTGCGGTGGTATTTAGGGCAGAGTTGAATGTGCCACGTATGCCCTGTACCATAGACCACATGCTTCTATTGAAGTTTAAGATTTAATCAATGCTTCTGTGAATGGTGTCACACTTTGTTTTTCCTAACTCCTTCCACTAGGACAGCTCTGTTTTTATTTTTTCTTTAATTTTTTGGTGTTACAATTAACATTTGATTTGGGAAAAATGGACTGAATAAAAAAAGTCTAAGTTTGCTCAGTTAAAAAAATTCTATGCCCAGTTTTAATTCCCAAGGTCTTTTTCAGTGAACACAAAAGGGTTTAATACATTTTGACGGCTAAGAAAATAAAAGGAAAAATTTGGTGAATAATGGCTAACATTTACGGGCTACTTACAATGTGCTAAATGATTCATATTTGTTATTTCATTTATTTCCCACAATGGCTCTGTCAGTTTGGTTCTACTCTATTCCTCACAGAGAAATTGAGGTTGTTCAGCAACTTGGATAGAACACATTGCTAGTAAGTGGAACTGTGCTGGTATTTTAAAATTATTTACAAAATCGTATTTGGGTTCTACTCTCAACACCAACATATATGTTTGTAGTTTCCCCTTTATGTCTCTAGCCCCACTCTATCAAAGAGTTCGCTAATCCACCTGACCAAATAGTCTCAGGAAAGAAACAGAAAATTACTTTGTGCTTTGAGGCTACCTTAAGCATTTAACCCATTGAGGGCAGAGGACCAGATGAAATGATCTTGTTAATTTCCAAGCTTCTTTTCCTTTTTTCTCATAGTAGTGGCCAAGATGTCCCTTGTATCCAGGACCATGTTTCTGAATTAATTTCTGACTTTAGCATCCAGGGAGCATTTTCCTTCTAGTAACTACCCCTTACTGGAAACTGAGTGGTAAATTATACTCCCTAGTTAATATCCAAAATATATAAACATGCAACTCAACAACAACAACAACAACAAAAATACAATAATTTAATTTTAAAATGAGCAAAGGACTTGAATAGACATTTCTCAAAAGACATAAAAATGATCAACAGGTATATGAAAAGATGCTCAGTGTAGCTAATCCTCAAGGAAATGAAAATCAAAACCATAGTGATATATAACCTCACACCTGCTAACATGGCTACATTTTATGAGAAAGACAAGAGATTACAAGGCAAGGATGTGGGAAAAAGGGAACCTGTGTGCACTGTTGGTGGGAATGCAAGTTGGTGCAACCACTATGGAGAAAGACTGGAAGTTCCTCCAAGAAAAGTAGCAATAGAACTACCTTATGACCCAGCAATCTCACTTCTGGGGATCTATCTAAAGGAGTGAAATTAGTATTTCAAAGAGATAATGCATACTCCCGTGATATAGAAACAACTTAAACATTTATTGACAGATAAATGGATAAAGAAAATGTGATTACACACACATGCACTCACACACACACACACACACACATACAAATGGAACATTATTCACCCTTAGTAAAGAAGGAAATCTTACCATTTGTGATAATACGGATGAATCTGGAAGACATTATGCTAAATGAAGTAAGTCAGAAACAGAAAGACAAGTGCTGCATATTCTCAGTTATATGTGGAATCTAAAAATGTAAAATTCATAGAAACAGAGAGTGGAGTGATGGTTACCAGAGGCTGGGGGGAGAGAGAAGTAAGGGGAAATGCTGGCCAAAGGGTACAAAGTTTTAGTTATACAAGATGAGTAAGTTCTGAGGATCTAATGTAAAACAATGAGACTATAATTAACATTGTGTTGCAAACTCGAAACTGGCTACAAAGGTAGATCTTAAGTATTTTCACCACACA